ACAGTGAAGATTCGGTTGTTCCAGCAGAAGTACGATCTTTCTTACTTCAACTGGATAAAGCTCTAGGTTCATCTCAGTTGCTTTTAATGGGTTCTATTGTTAATTGCACCCTATCTAAAAGAGCAGAGTTTCTTAGAAAAAACTTCTGTTGCTGAGTCTTTCAAAGATTCTTTACTGAAATCTACACTTTCTGACAAGATGTTTGGTTTACCCATACAGCGGGTTCAAGAGGAACTCAGCAAAAACCCTCCTCCCATCAAAGTTAATGTACAAGTTAACAATGGCAAGAGGTCGGTTAATGCTACATCTAGTTCTACTAGTACTTCTGCTTCTGGTGGTCCTCCTTCTTCTGCTAAGAAAAGGAAGAATAACTATGGCAAACCTCAGAACAAATCCCATAACTCCGGTAAAAGCTCAGGTAAGCCTTCTAAGGTTTTAAGGGCCCCAAGAAATCTGGGTCAAGTACCTAGGTTCTTCCCCCCTCGTAGGTTATTGACAGCTTCCCCAGGGGAAAATTTACAACAAGTTCCTCAAAAAATCAATACCAGTAGGGGGTGGTTAAATTTTTTCGTAAATCAGTGGAAGAAAATTACCTCAGACTGTTATGTGCTGTCAATAATTCGAGGGGGATTAACACTTCAGTTCAAGAACCCACCTCCTCTGTCTGCAGTTCCGATAAGTTTGTCTCATACTCAAGATCCAGTCAAGTATCAACTTCTATCAGTAGAAGTAGAAACTATGTTACCGAAATCTGAAATAGAGGAGGTGTCGCTCTTAACTCTATCTCCGGGATTTTATTCCCGTCTTCTTCTGGTTCCAAAGAAGACGGGAGGAATGAGGCCGGTCATAGACCTATCTATTCTGAACAACTTGCTAAGTGTTCCCCATTTCAAAATGGAAACCAACAGATCATACAGGGCTTCAATCCTTCCAGGAATGTGGACTACCTCTCTGGATCTTTCAGATGCTTACTTCCACATTCCCATTTCCCATACTTACAGGAAATACCTTCGCTTCGTTTGGAACAACAAAGTTTTCCAGTTCAAAGCTCTCCCTTTTGGCCTATCTACAGCCCCTTTGGCTTTTACCAAAATCATGCAGGCAGCTATAGCTCACCTACATTCCCTGTCTATTCAGATTCATTCCTACCTGTACGATTCCCTTCTCAAGGAATTTTTCCCCATCAAATTGAGGGTTCAGACAGATTTGGTCATCAATTACTTTCTGTCCCTAGGCTTCCTAATTTCCTGGAAAAAGTCAGAGATAGTTCCTTCTCAAGACTTTGTTTTACTGGGAGAACATTTCCTAACCAATCTAGGCCTAGTTCTTCCCCCATAGGAAAAATTTACAAAACTATGTCAGAAAATTCATTTATTCCTGACTGTTCAATCAGTCAGAGCACATCAATTCTTGCAACTTCTGGGTCTATTGAATTCTCTGGCAGATGTAATTCCATTGGGACGCCTTCACATTCGTCCGCTTTAGTTTTATTTGCACAAGTTTTGGATTCTACCTTCACAAGAATGGGAATTATTGATTCCAATCACTCAGCCTCTATTTTCACATCTTCAATGGGAAAATGTAATCCTATCTCTGTCCCCTCAAGTTCCCAGTCTAACTTTATTCACAGATTCCTCCACCCTCGGTTGGGGAGCATATCTGGAGGGGCTTACAATCTCGGGAGTCTGGAATCCAGATCTTTTGGAAGAGCATATCAATGTATTGGAAATGAAAGCAGTTCTGTTTGCACTGAATCATTTCCAACTGTCTCTAAAGAATCAGTCTGTCATTCTGGCCACGGACAACACAACAGTTATAGCTTATCTCAAGAATCAGGGAGGAACTCACTCGCCTTCTCTTTATCAGATAGCCAGAGACATTCTCCTTCTGTGTTTTCAACTCCAGGTTCATCTAGTGGTGAGACATATTGCGGGGCACCTCAATATTCTAGCAGACACTCTATCCAGATCCCTTGCTCCAATAAACACGGAGTGGGAACTACTTCAAGTAGTTTTCAAAGCTGTGACTCTTCATTGGGGTTCACCTCAGATAGATCTGTTTGCGACCAGTCTCAATCACAAACTTCCCACATTTGTGTCTCCGGTTCCAGATCTGAAATCTTTTGCGGTAGACACAATGAGCCTATCTTGGGAAGGAATGTTCGGGTACGCCTTCCCTCCTTTCAGGTTTCTCTCCCCAGTACTTCAGGGTAGAATTGCAAGCTCATAGTTATTGCTCCAGCATGGCCCAAACAGTCTTGGTTTCCAGACCTTCTGCGCCTATCATGTGCTTGTCCTCTAGTTCTTCCTCTGAGACCAGACCTTCTGTCTCAAATCAAGGGCAAGGTTCTTTATCAAAATCCAGAAAAACTTCGTCTACACGCCTGGCTTCTCTCAGGGTTAGCCTCAAAAAGAGAGGTTTTTCTGAAGGAGCAACCAAGCATCTCACAAAGTCTGTCAGAGACTCCACTAGCCTTGTCTATGATGCAAAATGGTCAACCTTCTCAGATTGGTGTAGTGAGCGGGAAATCGATCCTTTCCAAGTCACTGTACAACAATTAGCAGACTTTCTAGTATTTCTTTTTGAATCCAAAGGACTATGTCCCTCTACCATTAAGGGATATAGATCAGCTATTTCAAGAACTATTCATACTTCTGGTGGTCCTGATTTTGGAAACAATGAGCATATTTCTCTTTTGGTTCGTAGTTTTAGTCTTGAAAGACCAAGACAAAAAACTTTAGTTCCTAAGTGGGACCTTGGACTAGTTTTATCTTCTTTAAAACTTTCTCCTTTTGAACCAGCAGAAAAAATAGATTTAAGGTTTCTTTCCTATAAATGCTGTTTTCTTTTAGCTTTGGCTTCTGGACGGAGAAGGAGTGAAATCCATACCTTCTCTATTTCTGATGCTTGCCTTCGATTTAACAGGGATAAATCTTCTGTTACTCTTTTAACTGATCCTGCTTTTTTGGCAAAGCATCAGATTCCAGATAACGGTGTAGTACCAGTCGTGATTCCTGCACTCCCTAGCGATTCTATTTCTGTACTTTTATGTCCAGTAAGAATCCTTTCTATTTATCTGGATAGAACGAAGAGTTTACGTTCTGTTTCTAACTCAAGACTCTTTATTCCTATTAAAAAAGGAATCTCAGATCTTTCTGTTAAAACTATTTCTACTTGGATATGCAAATGCATATCTTTAGCTTATGGTTCTTCTATTAGGCAGAACTTTTGGATAGTTTTAATGTTAAAGCTCATGATGTTAGGGGTATCTCTACATCCTGGACTCTGTTTAACAGTGCATCTTTAGAAGAGGTATTGTCTGCAGGTTTCTGGAGAAATGAGAACTCTTTTATCTCACATTACCTCCAATCTTTGGCTACTTTTGCCGAGAGTTTATACTCTCTTGGACCTATAGTTTCAGCACAAAGATTGAACTTTCCTCCTGTTTCTTCTGTTACAGGGGATTCAGCCTTACTTTAGATTCTGTTACTCAGAATTTATGATGGTAACGTATTTATAGCTATAAAATAATCAAATTTTAAAGTAAATTTGGATTTTATTAGATAAATACTTACCATCATAAATTATAGGTCCCACCCGCCTCCCCTTCATCCCTTTTCTTTACGTTTCTGTCTGACAGTACGTTTATTTTTAGTCGGGGATATTCCATCTGACCTAATGACGCAGTTGGGGTACACTAGAATTTATGATGGTAAGTATTTATCTAATAAAATCAAAATTTACTTTAAAATTTGATTATTTTTAGGCGAATAATAGGTGTATTATATAACTCTTGAAAGCAATAAATTACAATCTGTAAATACTACTTATATTTACTGTTAAACAATAAGAAAAAAATAGTGGTTATAGCTAAGTATGCAGGGACAAAAACATGCATTTTAAGAAAACAAACATCAATGAACGACCAAATGTTTGTGTGCTGTGTTTGAATTATAAAACGACCCATCAGTTTCATTTAAACAAATATTTGCTAAGAAGAATAATTAAACATGTCTGCATACTTTATAAGTTGTATAAAAATTGTATTTGTTGTTATTACTTGTGTATGCATGGAAATGTATTAAAGATAACACTGATTTTTACGGTAAAAAAAAATGAATACACACATTCCAGAGATGTACACATCAAACACATCCTACTTTTGTAATGATGGATAGTAACCTATAGCCACTTATATAACAGTAAATGTCAAGCTACTCAAAACAATAAATAATTTGCATATTCATGGACGGACAAGCAATAGTTTCAGCTTTTGTTTTGATGGAAAAATGTAAACATTGGAAACGGCTATTTTGACATAGGAAACAAACTCATTTTCAATCTTGGATTAAAGGACATTGCGCACATTGCCAGCATATCATGCATAACCAGTCATGTGAAAATACATCTTTGAATATGTTTTCTACACTTACTTTTCTATGTTTTAGTTAATTTAATGTTTTAATTTCCTAAATAACGGAACATCGTTCTCAAAGACAACGAAGAAAAAAATATAGGTGGCGCTGTTTATAGGCGTGAACATTTTACATACAGGTACTTTTTGTGTCGACAGATTGACCTTTATCTGTCAGATTCAGGCGTTTGCCGTTCCACTGTATATAAAGTTTCTGTCTATTTCTGCAAGTTTGTCTGACATCATACTCATTCTTTATGAAAAAGACTTTTTATAACTTTATTAAGAAATGCACATTTATACCCTGATGGGTTGAAGGCGAACAATACATAAATACAAACAATGGAAAAATTCTAAAATATCAATACATAATATAACAAATGTAAAAAAAGTAATAATAGCTATGCAGATATGGTGTCCACTCTCCACAATGGAAATGACTTTTAGACACTTTATGTTGACCTCTGGATGTCATTTGGGGTTTTTTTGTCATTGGGTTGGTGTCACATTTAAGTACAACATACATTTCCTTTTGTCTGTGGTATTTGTTTGTGAAGATTTATTAGATAAAGTAAATGAAACTTACCAGAAATAACATGTTCTCTCCATATATTAGATTCCAACATCAGGTTTTGTAAAGCTTGGAAAGCATGACTTAAAATATAATAAATCATATTTCATAGAACATACAGTAAAATATTTCTGATCACTTTTTAACAATTGCTAAATATGTTCAATCATTCAAGTAAAAATTGCATTACTCAAGGGTTATAAATAGTGGGAATTAATGATTGGTAATTGCCCTTTCTAATCATGCTAATGTCATTTAAGATATGTCTGACCTTGTATTGGAAAGGTCCAATACTTTTTTTTTCATACCAATAATATAAATCATAAAATAAATCATATGTAAATGTGCATCAAGTCTAACCAATAGTGTTAGCTGTGTTAAACAAACATCCAATAACTCAGGTAAAAAACTATACAATCTGCTACTTCGTAGCCTGCGGTATGTTAACATGCAATGACAGACAACAGACAACATCCAAGTGATAGCAAAAGCTGAAACTGGCTCACTTATTATATAAATGGCTGTATGTCATTCAATATCTGACAACTAGATGTCAACTCACATGAATGTGGCTATGAAGATTAGATAAAATAAATAAAGTCTTATTTCTTTCGACTTGTTAGAAACTGAAAAATAAAGATTATAAATCTAAAATGTTGAATTAAATATTTCAATAGAAAAACAAAGGATATGGGATATCCATCCATGACACCAAATCAGTACATGCACAGCAAAAAACACACAAAAAGCAAAGGAACAGCGTTTTTATTTCTGTTCTTCATCTCAAAGTCACAGTAAGGCCTTCAACATGGAGCAAATAAACCTCTCACCTCACTGCAAGTTTAGGACGGTCCCTAGCACCGGTGAGCGGATTTTTTGCAAAATGATTCAGAAAAACTTGGTAAGTTGTATCACCACCAAAAAGCACATGTTGTAGTTCAAAGCAGCATAAGATTATTTATCCAATTTTGGATTCCCAGCTATCTTATTTTAGCTTTCACAGTGAGGGTAAATCTAGAAATTAGCAATCTCTGTACTCTTTATGACAACTCACCCTTTCAATTCTTCGTCCATGTGGACTGTTAGTCTAGTAAGAAGTTCTACTAGTTCTTGACTGGACATTCCATCTGGTATAAGTCTAGGTATAGCAGCGATGCAGGTCCTGAACAACTCTATCTTAGCCTTTCGTTCTCCACTGCAAATCAAACAGTAAGTTTCATATTTATCATAATTAACTTATTTTCTAAATTTCAAGGAAGAGAGGGGGGAATTTTCAGTCAGAAAATTAGTTAGGGTCCTTCTTTTCTGTATTCTTCAATTTTTACCTCTTTTTTTCTCTATTCTTTATTTTTTTTTGTCCTTTATTCAGCACTTTTTGCTCATTATTATCTATAAGCTATAAACCCCATCCAGACCCTCAGTTGTTGAGTTGAACAAGGTATAACCTGCATTTATAAGGTAAATTAACAGGTATTTCTTATACTTGAAAATCATGAATTGAATAAGATATGGCATGTATGTGAATTTCAAGTGTTTAGGAGGAATTGTTGATACATAATAATTATTCCTTTTTGCATCTGTAGCCAAGTTCAAATGTGTCTTACAAATAAAACTTCTTATCATAAAATTAGTGTTATACAGAAAATTGTATATAACATGCATAGACTTTTCTTATATATAAAATTCATGAAAATATGGAATAATTGTCTTGAAATATAAACTTTAATTGCACAAGGTGTAGAATCAAATAAATATGAAAAGCTCCAAGCATTTCATAGCCTTACTGTAGTTGTGATTGAGTTAAGAGCTTACCTCTGCTGCTTGACTATTAAACTTATAAAGAAATGTTTTGTCTGTATAGATGTAGAAACAAAAGCAAAAAAAATCATTTTCAGTGCAAATATATAAATACATGTGATAGACTGTGAAACTCAGATCAAGAGATTAGGAAATTGGTCAGGATTTTAGACCTCAGATCAGACTTTTTATCTACATTTTTGTTGTTTGATGTAAAAATTGTCTTTTTTGTGTGTTTTTTCTTCAATCTTCCATCTCAATGTAATATATCAAAGTGTTTACTGTACCCTTGTAGCATGTCTATTTGAAAGATATCAGTTCAAAGATTGTGTATCTGCTTTTGCTTTTCATTGTTTATTGTTGACTGATCATGAATAAAGTACTGTGATTAAAACTTTCCTTTGAGTACAAAGAGAGAATTGAAGGATAGTGTTCTATTCATGCCTCAATATTTTTTTTATTTATATTCAATGTCATTGGCCTAGATATATAAGAAAGACATATGCTATACTTCTATAATATGATAAAAAGACAACAAACAATAACAATAGTTACTTAGTTATGCATGGTTTTTACCTATTGATAAAGTCATTTTGCTAGAAAACTTAACATTGTCATTGTTTCAAACACAAAATATATTAGCTAAAGCATTGCCTGTATTACATTGACATTGTCATTAAATAACTAAAGCACTGGTCTTGGAACACTGGGTCCTGTAAGAATAAATGGGGAATGTGTCCATTGGACACAGATGATGCCCCCACTTACATATAACATTATAAAGGGACATAACTTAAGAAAGGTAAAAGCATCGCTACCCAAATTCGTACTTGATCTAAAAGCATTGTGAATAAGTTTCATAACATTTGGTTGAGACAAACTTAAGGTAGAGAACAGAAACGAAAAATTCAGCAATTTTTCCATTTGTAAAGGGGCATAACTCTAGAAAGGTAAAAGTGATGCCACCCAAATTCAAACTTGATCTGTGTTTTGTGGTAATAAGCATTGTGTATAAGTTTCATAACATTTGGTTCAGGCAAACTAAAGTTAGAGAACGGAAACCAATTTCAGGACGTACAGACGGACAAGGGTAAAACTTAATGCCCCCTCCGCTACAGCATTGGAGTGTGAAATAGTGAGCATTACTTTGCTGAGTTGAAAGTTTATAAAATATTTTTTTGCATCAAAACCTTCCCGATCGATGATTTGACAACAACATTCCACTTTTCTATCAATGCCGGTATTTAAATGTAATCTTCCTTGGTGTGCATCATAAACAGAAGCCATATGGAGCAATTAATATCCTATCACCAGTTGACTGTGCAATCTAACTATAATCACTTGTTAATTAACATTAGGGGCAAAATCTAACTGAGTTGCGTAATGTATAAAGTTACACCAGAAAGCAATTGTAAAACATGCCTTCAATAATCTTCTGGTTTTTACCACAATAGTGAATGTTTGTAAACAGGCGTAGTAAAAATGGTGTCGGAAAATTTTCATTCATTAAATTTTTGATACACAGGATTTTGATTGCTTCAATTTGAGAACAGAAGGAGACCCCTGAAAACAAGATTATTGTATTGAAGGACAGATGGTTCAAATGTATGTATATATTCAGGATGTTTGTGCTGTATTTAGACCCCTCTATCAAGAAATTTGTTTTGCATGCACACATATAAAAATTGCGGTTTTTATCCAACGCAATCATAGGTTTGAACGTTGTTTTCAATTTAGACTTATTTATATTCAGGATGTACACACTTATTTTTTTCTATTTTCATTTTTTATTTAGTAAAGGAAGATAAGGAATTTATTACATTAACACTGGTCAGTATCTTACGTCATGAGTTCCTCAGGTTCTTTACTGGCATTTTCAGACTTGGTCATCAACCAACTTCTCCCTACTTGTAAATCTAGTGCTCGTAATATGGAATCAAATGCCTTAAGTATGTGAGGGTAGTACTGTACAAGACCAATAGTTTTGGCAGTTGGTTCTGTAAGCATTTTATTCAAAAATGTCCTTTTTACACGGACTGTACTTCCAGATGGCAGTATTGGTTGTGACTGGGGCATTGGTGGATCTCCATCCTTCTGCTGCAAACTATCAGCTATGACAAGAAAAGCTCTTAACCCTATACTCATGCGCTGAAAATTTAAGATTGTGTTAAAATATTTTAGAAGAGACACACTAATTATTTTGAGCATGCTTAAAATGTATTGACATGAAGAGAGGAAAAGAAATCACCTGTTGTTTTTGTTTTGTTTTAATTTTTTTGTTTTCCAAAGAAAAACTAAATTTTAAAATATATCAAATACATGTAATATCAATCAGATATCAACTAGACATTTATCAGATGCTTTTTTCTTTAGATTTATGACTCATACATATGCATAAAAGGAGATTAGAATAAAATGCTTCGCTGGGGCGCAGCTTGATACGACCGCAGAGGTCGAACCCTGAACAGTTGGGGCAAGTATGGACACAACATTCAAGCTTGAAACAGCTCTGAATTTGGATTGTTATTAAATATTTGACACAGCATAGGTTTCTGACACAGAAAGAATGTGGTCTAAGAACTTGAATTTTTTTAATTTACCTATTATGGTCCAATGTCCAAAATCAAAATACATGGTTAGATTCAGCATATCAAAGAACCCCATATATTCAATTTTTGTTAAAATCAAACAAAGTTTAATTTTGGACCCCAACTTGGACAAACTTGAAAACTGGGCTCATAATCAAGAATCTAAACACATGTTTAAATTCAGCATATCAAAGAACCCCAAGAATTCAATTTTTGTTAAAATCAAACTAAGTTTAATTTTGGACCCTTTGGACCTCAATGAAGACCAATTTAAAAAACGGGACCCAAATTAAAAATCTAAAAACACGGTTAAATTTGGCATATCAAAAAACCCCAATAATTCAATTTTTGATGAAATCAAACTAAGTTTAATTTTGGACCCTTTTGACCTCAATGTGGACCAATTTGATAAATACATGGTTAGATTCAGCACATCAAAGAATCCAAAGAATTCAATTTTTGATGAAATCAAACAAAGTTTAATTTTGGACCCTTTTGACCTCAATGTGGACCAATTTGATAACGGTGCCCAAAAATCAAAATACATGGTTAGATTCAGCATATCAAAGAACCCCATATATTCAATTTTTGTTGAAATCAAATAATGTTTAATTTTGGACCCCAACTTGGACCAACTTGAAAACTGGGCCCATAATCAAAAATCTAAACACATGTTTAGATTCAGCATATCAAAGAACCCCAAGAATTCAATTTTTGTTAAAATCAAACTAAGTTTAATTTTGGACCCTTTGGACCTCAATGAAGACCAATTTAAAAAACGGGACCCAAATTAAAAATCTAAAAACACGGTTAGATTTGGCATATCAAAAAACCCCAATAATTCAATTTTTGATGAAATCAAACTAAGTTTAATTTTGGACCCTTTTGACCTCAATATGAACCAATTTGATAGCGGGGCCCACAAATAAAAAATCTAAATACATGGTTAGATTCAGCATATCAAAGAACCTCATATATTCAATTTTTGTTGAAATCAAACAAAGTTTAATTTTGGACCCCAATTTGGACCAACTTGAAAACTGGGCCCATAATCAAAAATCTAAATACATGTTTAGATTCAGCATATCAAAGAACCTCATATATTCAATTTTTGTTGAAATCAAACAAAGTTTAAATACTGGACCCTATCTTGGACCAACTTGAAAACTGGGCCCATAATCAAAAATCTAAACACATGTTTAGATTCAGCATATCAAAGAACCCCAAGAATTCAATTTTTGTTAAAATCAAACTAAGTTTAATTTTGGACCCTTTGGACCTTAATGTAGACCAATTTAAAAAACAGGACCCAAAATTAAAAATCTAAATACACGGTTAGATTTGGAATATCAAAGAACCCCAATAATTCAATTTTAGATGAAATCAAACAAAGTTTAATTTTGGACCCTTTTGACCTCAATATGAACCAATTTGATAACGGGGTCCACAAATAAAAAATCTAAATACATGGTTAGATTCAGTATATCAAAGAACCCCATATATTCAATTTTTGTTGAAATCAAACAAAGTTTAATTTTGGACCCCAATTTGGACCAACTTGAAAACTGGGCCAAAAATCAAAAATCTAAATACATGTTTAGATTCAGCATATCAAAGAACCTCATATATTCAATTTTTGCTAAATTCAAACAAAGTTTAATTTTGGACCCTTTGGACCTTAATGTAGACCAATTTGAAAACTGGACCCAAAATTAAAAATCTTAATACACTGTTAAGATGCGGCATAACAAATAAATAAATGTGATCAAAGATTTTACAAATCTAATGCGCCATTCTGTGCAATTAAAGATTACTTCTTGAAATTTTTCAATATTTGAAATTTGAAAAAAAAATAATATTTGAAGAATAATTCTTTTTAATTTCTGAAATCTGAAATGAGAAAAAATTGACCTCCCACAATTTCTTTTTATCCCCCCCCCCCCTTTTTTCCCCCAAAAAATTCTTTCCCTCAAGATATGGTCATAATCTCAATTCAAATTTCCAATGGAGTTGGCAACCATAATTACCCATTTAAATTTACCATAGTGCTAACTTAATCTATTTTATAATAGAATTAAAAATATAGTGTCAAATATGGATTTTTTGTAAAAAAAAAAGATGCAACATTTGCAGATATTTTTACTGGTCTTCCTTTATAAATATGCATTTCTTTAAACATAATTTAAAAGCAGTGTAAGGGAAGTAACCAAAACGTTGTATTTGGATTACCTCCCTTACACTGTTTTAAATTATCTTTATTGGTCAAGCATGGTAAGGGAGATAATTTTAATGATGTATTTGATTTATCTCCCTTACACTGCTTTAAATTATGTTTTGTACTAAAGTATTTGTCCATTAACCAGGACAACCTTGTTTTCCCCCTTTTTTGCCCCTAATTCCTAAACGGTTTGAGCCATAACCCCCCAAAGCAAATCCTAACCATCCCTTTGTGGTATGGAAACTTGTAGTATAATTTCAGAGAGATCCATACACCGTTCCACAGTTATTGTCTGGAAACTAGAAAATGCTTATTTTTGGCCCCTTTTTGGCCCCTAATTCCTTAACTGTTGGTACCATAACCCCCAAAATCAATCCCAACCTTCCTTTTGTGGTGTTTAACCTTATGGTCAAATTTCAAAAAGATCCATTCACTTAAACTAAAGTTAGAGTGCGAAAACCAATGTGTCTTCGGACGACGACGCTGGACGACGACGACGACGACGACAACGCCAACGTCAAACCAATATACGACCACAAAATTTTTTTGCGGTCGTATAAAAACTTAACACTGAGCAATGAACCTTGAAAATGAGGTCAAGGTAAAAAAAAACCTGCGTGACTGACAAATAGATCATAAAATATTTCCATACACCAAATATAGTTGAACTATTGCATATAGTATTAGAAAAAAAGACCAAGACTCAAAAACTTAACTTTGACCACTGAACCATGAAAATGAGGTCAAGGTCAGATGACACCTGCCAGCTAGACATGTACACCTTACAATCATTCCATACATCAAATATAGTAGACCTATTGCATACAGTATAAGAAAAACAGACCAAAACACAAAAACTTAACTATAACCACTGAACCATGAAAATGAGGTCAAGGTCAGATGACACCTGCCAGTTGGACATGTACACCTCACAGTCCTTCCATACACCGATATACTACACCTATTGCTTATAGTATCTGAGATATGGACTTGACCACCAAAACTTAACCTCGTTCACTGATCCATGAAATGAGGTCGAGGTCAAGTGAAAACTGTCTGACGGGCATGAGGACCTTGCAAGGTACGCACATACCAAATATAGTTATCCTATTACTTATAATAAGAGAGAATTTAACATTACAAAAAATCCTAACTTTTTTTTTCAAGTAGTCACTGAACCATGAAAATGAGGTCAAGTACATTGGACATGTGACTGACGGAAACTTCGTAACATGAGGCATCCATATACAAAGTATGAAGCATCCAGACCTTCCACCTTCTAAAATATAAAGCTTTTAAGAAGTTAGCTAATGCCGCCGGATCACTATCCCTATGTCGAGCTTTCTGTGACAAAAGTCGCAAGCTCAACAAAAATCAGAAAAAAAGAAGAAGAAGAAGAAAAAAATCACAATATTGCTCAGGGTTCTATCCTTTGATTAACATGATTAAGAAGCGTCTGTCCAAGTTTTGTAAAATCTCATGAAGGTTTAACAAAGCAGAACAATTTGAAAAAGTTTGTTGATGTTCAAAAATTTTAATCGTAAACTAAAAATAAAATGCTCCGCAGGGCGCAGCTTGATACGACCGCAGAGGTCGAACCCTGAACAGTTGGGGCAAGTATGGACACATTATTCAAGCTTGATACAGCTCTGAATTTGGATTGTGATTAAATATTTGACACAGCATAGGTTTCTGACACAGAATGAATGTGGTCTAAGAACTTAAAAATTTTAAATTGGACATTCACCTATTATGGTCCAATATCCAAAATCTAAATACATGGTTAGATTCAGCATATCAAAGAACCCCAAGAATTCAATTTTTGATGAAATCAAACAAAGTTTAATTTTGGACCCCGATTTGGACCAACTTGAAAACTGGGCCCATAATCAAAAATCTAAATACATGTTTAGATTCAGCATATCAAAGAACCCTAAAAATTCAATTTTTGTTAAAATCAAACTAAGTTTAATTTTGGACCCTTTGGACCTTAATGTAGACCAATTTGAAAACGGAACCAAAAATTAAGAATCTAAATACACGGTTAGATTCGGCATATCAAAGAACCCCAATTATTCAATTTTTGATGAAATCAAACAAAGTTTAATTTTGGACCCTTTTGACCTCAATGTGGACAAAGTTGATAACGGGGCCCAAAAATCAAAAATCTAAATACATGGTTAGATTCAGCATATCAAAGAACCCCATATATTCAATTTTTGTTGAAATCAAACAAAGTTTAATTTTGGACCCCGATTTGGACCAACTTGAAAACTGGGCCCATAATCAAAAATCTAAATACATGTTTAGATTCAGCATATCAAAGAACCCTAAAAATTCAA